GAGCAGGCCACATGGCTTTGCGAACCCACATAAGAGCAGTGACCTATTTATCAGACTAGGATGTGTAGGAGACCTTGAAGCACTCACAGCCAAAAAGAATAGCAAAGCTGCACACTGAGGAAGAATCACTAGAGCATGTACGCCAAGCAGTGAGCGGACAACTGAAGAGCCAATAAGATCCCAACTTCTATTCCAATCAATCAGCCAGGAGCTTTTTTCAGGTCTTCTCTCCTGGTGAGAACTTCAAATCTTGGGTGACTGCCAGAGGTAGGAAGCAAGTGCCTCAGCTTTCCATGAGGTCTCCTCCTGTTTTCGTTAAGGTGTGGATATTCAGGCTTGCCACTAGAACGTTAGACAGTCTGCCCTATAGACCAGATTCAGGGAACTTTAGGAGAATTTTGTGCTACATACAATCCCGCAAGCCAACACTGGCGGATGCCAGTGATGTGGCGGTGGCCGCTGTACTTCTCCAGGCCGGGGGGGGGGGCGGGATGGGTTGTGTTACAGCCATGTGCATATACCTCCCGCAAGTTAACCAAAACCAAACGCTGGTGGGCTATTTGGGAAAAAGAGTCCTTCGCCGTCCGGGGAGGTGAACAAAGCCACAATCGGTCGCCAAATGCCCAAAAGGTGGGCACATGACCATGGTGTGTAGGGGGGGGAGGAGGTGTAGCTCTCATAACTCCGAAAACAGGTTGTTAGTAACTCTGGGGAGGCCCATCATAACTTTGAATGGTTGTTGAGTGACTTATCATAAATTGTACATTTGCATTTACAATTGTACATTACTAACCGTACATTCTTGCTTGTGACTTGTTAACTCCTTCCGCTTTCCCAGCTCCACTTTTACAATCTGAAGACCCTGCTCCCTCAAGAAAAAAAGTCATCTTTCTCTCATCTTTGCCATACATATAAGAGTTGCCTCCCAGAAGACTTTTCAGACCCTACCCCATCTCCTCTCCTCTTGGTGCATGAAGTACTTGGCACACAGTCATGATTTCCCCGATTCTACTTTCGGGGCCAGGTAACTGGATGACTTTCAAATGTTCAGCACAACCGAATTCACAATTCCTGTGCTCCACAGCAGAGTTGAACTGGCTCTGCTGCCCAACGATGTGTGAATCCATAGGCGCAGGGCCAGTCCGGAAGCATTGCAAATGCAGAATGGCTAAATGTCAGTAGGAAGAAGGGGGAGAGGGAGGAGGGGTTGGAGAATGTGGCTTTCAGCAATATCCGTGTTAGCTTATATTCTTGGATGAAGCACTGGAGAGCTTCCCATCGGGCAGACCGGAAAGTCTTACCTCATGATTTTTGCGGAAACCTAATACCCCTTAATGTAAAACTTAAAATCTGCTCAATAAAAGACACTACTTTCTATGTATTGATTTCTTCCTGGATATATGATTTCTATTTCTCTTAACTCACTGAGATAATTTGTTGTACAAGTAGTTCTCGGCCGATGACCACAAGTGGCCAATGACCACAAGATTTCTGTTGTTCAATGAGACATTTGTTAAGTCGGTGTTGCCCCGTTTTACTTTTCACTGAGGCAAGACTTTTCTTGCCTCAGTGAATCACTGCAGCTGGTAAGTTAGCAACCCGGTGGTTAAGTGAATCTGGCTTCCCCCTTGACGTTGCTCGTCAGAAGGCCGCAAAAAAAGGGATCACGTGACCGTGGCACACTGCAACCATCATAAATACGAACCGGTTGCCAAACGTCTGAATTTTGATCACGTGATCATGGGGAGGCTGCAAAGGTTGCAACTGTGAAAAACGGTCTTCAGTTACCTTTTTTCGGTGCGGCTGTAACTTTGAACAGTCACTAAATGAACTGTTTTACAACAGGTAGTCTGTACTACCTGTACTACCTGTACCTCATTATGACAGGTTGGGATCTTCCCAAATCAAAACAGAATCCAATGACAGGATGGAGTCCAATGAAAAGGATTTTTGCATGCGTTGAAAAACAGATTTGTTCAAGGGTACCATTACCCAGCTTAATTTCACTCAATCCACCCCAACCTTACAGCATTAAGACGAAGCACAGCTTTCTCTTTATAAGATTAGCAGTGCTGTATTTTGACTCTCCCTCTCCTCAATACTGATATGAATTCAATTGTCATCGCCTCAACTCAAAACAGAATTTCATCCTCGTAAAGTGAATAATAGAGAATTAGCACCGCTTCTTTATTCTGACTCTCTTTAACTCAGGCTGGTCTTCAGACGTCATCCCTGGGGCCTTTTCAAAGGGATTTAGAGGCTATAAACATTTGTGGCAGATAAAAAATAATAATAATAACAATACAGGTCTGGTTTCATCCTTCAAAATCCTTGGCATATTATTTTAATCCTCTGGAATCTGGTATGAAGAACTAAATCTATTTCTGATAACAGCACTAAAGCCATATTGATCTTCTTTCCTATTGAAGGAGGCAAATATCTACCAATTGCCATAAAACTTTTTAAAGCCAAATCCGTCACTCAGATATTATATAGGTTTCAGATGTGTCCATATAATAACTTTAAACCCTTAGATACTATCCAATCCAGGGCCTAAGGCTATTATTCTCCATGCCTGCTGCATTTTGAACAGGGCAATCTTCTTAGAAGCTGGGGTGATCCCATTGGAGTCTACAATCCCTTTATGTCAATTCTATTTTGGGTTCCACCTTCACTTTTCCAGCAGTTCTGTAGCTTCTACAACCTATACTGGTAGTCCTTGTCTTACGACCACAACCAAATTTCTGTCGCTAAGTGAGACATTTGTTAAGCGAATTTTGCCCTGTTTTACAACCTTTCTTGCCACAGTTGTTAAGCGAATCGTTACAATTGTTAAGTTATTAACATAGTTGTTGAGTGAATCTGGCTCTCCCATTGACTGCTGTCAGAAAGTTGTCCAAGATTATCACATGATCTCGGGACACAGCAGCTGTCATCAATATGAGACCGTTGCCAGGCATCTGAATTTTGATCACCTGACCTTGGGGATGCTGCAGGGGTTGTAACTGCGAAAAACAGTCGTAAGTCACTTTTTTCAGTGCCATTGTAACTTTGAACAGTCACTAAATGAACTGTTGTTAAGTGGAGGACCATTTGTACTGACAATCTTCTTTTTCTTGGAAAACTAGAATCTAGAAAACCAGCAGCAGGTGTACCTACTCTCCAGGTAATTTAGGGTGACCTAGTAGCCTGAATATAGACAGGAAACATCGGCAAATAATGTATTTACAATTGTATAATATACTGTACAATTCCCTCTTTGGCTTGCTCTAATGTCTCACCATCATATAGGAGGGAAAGTATAACAGTACCTCTTTTCTGAATGAAATTGTCCCTGTCACTTGGAGGACCCTGAGCCTCTAGTCTACATGCTTCTTTGATTCCACATGGGTCCTTTTTGTAGCAAAATGTGCCCCAACTCCACCTCCTAACCAAAATGCCATTTGTCTGGAGATGACTTTATTTGCTTCTTATTATCAGACAAGATTAACATAGAGAATCAGGCAGGATACAGGTTTAATGAATCATTATCATCATCTCCAGAAGAATCACCAAATCCTTACACAGTTGCCATTGCTTTATACAAGAAAAATGTCTTAAATGTTAGGATTTTATAACTAGGTAAAATGCATTTTTAATGTCATGTTATGTCTTTCTGCCACATGCAACTTTGGGCATGGATTGGGACAGTGGTGAAATGTAAAATTTGTTACTACCCGGTTCTGTAGGCGTGGCTTGGTGGGGTGGGTGGGGTAATATGACTGAGTGGGCATGGCCAACTTTTTTTTTTTTTTAACTTTTAAAACCATTTTTTCTACAACCTCTTTGGCTGAAGAGGTTGTAAAAAAATGCTTTTAAAAGCCTCTGACGATCCCAGCTGACTTGCCTGATCGGCAGAGGTTTTTTTTTTTTTTTAAAGCCTCTGACATCCCAGCTGACTTGCCTGATCGGCAGAGGCTTTCTTTTTTTTTTTAAAGCCTCTGACGATCCCAGCTGACTTGCCTGATCGGCAGAGGCTTTTTTTCCTTTTAAAAACATTTTTCCTATAACCTCTTTGGCCGAAGAGGTTGTAGAAAAAATGCTTTTAAAAGCCTCTGATGATCCCAGCTGAGCCACGCGATCATCAGAGGCTTTTTCTTTTTTACTTTTAAAAGCATTTACAACCAAAGAGGTTGTAGAAAAAATGCTTTTAAAAATAAAAAAAAGCCTCTGATGATTGCGCGGCTCAGCTGGACATGGGAGGGCAGGGATTTTTGCTACTGGTTCTCTGAACCACCTGCCTCCATCACTACCGGATTGGGCGATCCGGTCCGAACCAGGAGCATTTCACCCCTGGATTGGGATAAAATTATGAATAAACAGAGGTTGCAGTCAACCAACCACTTTTTTGTCTAATATAGATTATAAGTGTGCTCTGTGGAGATGGTTAGAATATAAACCAAACTAAACAAATACATTTTTAAAATGTGCATCCTGCATATCTTCCAGGAGCAAAAGATGGCTTAATAAGGATTGCCTAAAATTGCTCAAAGCCATTCTATTCTGGTCCCTTAGTGCTTTACCTGCAGCTAAAGCCCTTCACCAAGAATTGTTTTCAAAATTAAGTAATATGATCAAGTGTCAAGTTGCTTCGGTGATTATCACAGAAGGAAGACTTCAACCTTCAAAGCTGTTTGGTGATTGGACTATCAGATGGGCTGCAAAATTCAGGTGACCATGACAGAAGCAAAGAAGAGTTGTTGTTGTTCTGTTGACATCTACTGACAATCCAGCCCAGATCTGCTAGCATTAATGAGCAAAAGGGCATTTGATGATTAGTGCTAGCACCTTTAAATGTTAGGAGTAATCTAATGTTATTAGAATATAATAACCTAAAATAAAATCTTTCCACTTTTTGCCCAGCCGTCCTCATGATTTAGCCTTGGGTATTTCCATTTCTGCACAGAAGGCTATAAACATTCTAGTAAAATATTCAATTCTACATGTTCTCCCCCCTGTACCTTTTTCTTTACTGCCGAGGACTGATCTGTGGCCAAAATAACCAGCAATTTTTGTAAAGCACCTCCTTGAATTGCTGCAACTTGCACTCTGGGGTTGCTGGGAAGAGAGAAAATAAAAACTCATTACAGTCAAAAGCACCTCAGCATCCTTTAAACTTTACTGCAATCTGGCTTCCATAAGAAATAATTGTGTCAGGGTAAGGATTTTTTTTTTTTTTAAAGCAAAACAGTATATTGCAAAGCTGAAAATGAATATGAAGCCCTGGAGAGAGATCCTACTGCAAAACAGCATGTACTGGATGTCGGTTTAGCTTGACAAGTCGCCACCTGCTGGAGCAATTTGACAAGATGAGACAACAAAATGTCATTTCATGTGCAAGCTACTGATACGCAAAGTAATTCTTGCACAAATTGTTCTGCGCACAATGCAGTTGCTTTTGGGTGGCTGATGTCTGAACCAAAACAGATAATTTTGGTCCAGATAGGGAATAAAATAGGGCCATTTGGTTCTGAATATGCCTCAAATTGCAATCCTTGCTGCCAGAAGTGTTTTTTGTTTTTAACTTCTACTATTTTACTTTTGAGGAGGAAAAACTCAGTGATGAAGCAGATAAGGGTGAGGCACGAAAGAGAAGGTGCTGGGAAGACAGGATTGGGAATTGGGACCCTTCCCCACGCCCTTAGCAGCTTCCTCGGGCTGTTGAGATAAGCCTTGTTGGGAGCTACTGAGCACAGGAGGGGAGAGAAAGGGCGAGGCATATGATCTTTGTTTCACATTCCCTAAAATTCTTCGCAGGTTTGGTTTTGGCTAATTTGTGTCCTATGGTCAGGAGCAAAAACATAAGGATGCCCCTTCATTTTACCTTTATAGTGATAACCGTATGAAGCAGTGGTGGGATTCAAAAATTTTTGCTACCGGTTCTGTGGGTGTGGCTTGGTAGGTGTGGCATGGCTTGGTGGGTGTGGGTTGGTGGGCATGGCAGGGGAAGGATACTGTAAAATCTCCATTCCCACTCCACTCCAGGGGAAGGTTACTGCAAAATCCCCATTTCCTCCCAATCAGCTGGGACTCAGGAGGCAGAGAATAGATGAGGCAGAGCCAGTCAGAGGTAGTATTTACCGGTTCTCTGAACTACTCAAAATTTCTGCTACCGGTTCTCCAGAACCGGTCAAAAACTGCTGAAACCCACCTCTGGTATGAAGGTAGTTGGCCTAAAAGCAAGTGATTAATTCAGTGTCCCCCAGAAGGGCATTGTGGGACATCATCTTCAGCTCGAGATAGTTCCAATATGAAGGAAGAGGATCAGGTATGGAAATGTTTAGATGAACGTTAGAAAAGGAAGACTTCAAGACATCAAGAAGGAGACTATCGGATCTGAGCTGCAAAGCTCCACATAACCATGGCATGGCAACAATTTTGTTTCTGCTAGTCATGGCTCATCCAGAATGGTTCATCAGAAGGCAATGTGTGTTTCAGGTAACTAAAATACTATTTTCCACTCCATGCACATCTCTACAGGAATCGTATGTATGCGCACATCTAGTAAAAACAGATTTAGCATTTTTACAAACATGTCTAATGTGCATAAATGAAAAGAAAACTTGGTAGGTTTAGCATGTTCCTTTACTTTTTTTAAAAAAAAGTAGTAATGCCACAATAGGATTCTAGAACTTTTATGTATCTAGGCATTGTAATGCAAAGAGTCCAGTTTTTATCTTCTAGGTCAGAATGGCAAAAGATCAAAACTCACATCCTTCTGGACATTATCAGGGAAAATGGCCACTATAATTTGAGAATTGTTAAGATTTCTTCCTTTTCTCCTTTTGCTGTTTCCACATAAACTGATGTATATATAACTCATATCCTGAAACCATATTTCCTGAGCAGCTACTGGCACTATCTGTGCCTTAATAATCCTGAGCTACACTTCTCGTCCTAAACTTAACTGTAAATGGGGGATTAGTAATATCAAATCCTGATTTTGCTGTGTTATGTTAAAATGGGGAAAAATAATAAGAATGGAAATCACAATCATTCTTGAAGGATAGCGGGGCATGGATGAGAAGTCTCTATGGTAGAGATGCTTTTGCATTTCATAAGTCAGTTCAGGAATAGGAGTTACTTCCATGTCCATCAACAACCAAGTGTAGACTATCTTGGAAGCAGAAACAGCCGTATTAGTGATTTTTACCTTTCAATCTGCCCAGGGACTTCACTGGCAGGATCAATGTCAACATCCTTGCCAAACTGGAAGACATGACTATCTCTGCTGAAACATGTTTGGCTTGTCATTCTGAACTTCAAAATCTTAGTTCTGCCTCTGAGCTCAATTTTAGCTCTTTGATCTTGCTTGTGACTGGTGGAACTGTTACAAGAATTACTGGTATTCTGTAGACAGCTATAGACAGAAATATCTTTTTTATGTTGGTAGGATGTTGCTATAATTTATATAGCCCTCTCTATGGACTTGGCACAGTGCAGACCTGTATTTCATGTGGTTTACAATCTGAATGTAAATATGGGAAATGGCAAAGGAAAATGATGGGAATAAGGACTGACAAAAATGGTATACAATTATTTTGACTGCATGCATCTCTCAGTTGTTACAAAAAGGTATTTGCTATTCCAAAGGTATCTATGAAAAGATGCCTTGCACACAGATTTGAGGAATAATATTGTATAAACAGAACTGGACAGGGAAGGAAGACAGATGTCCAGGTTAAGAAGCAGTTTTCACAAGTGAGACAAAACTTTGGAAAGTTTTAGAAGCGATACAGTATGTTCGGGGGGTAGGGGCAGATTGAATGGGAAAGGACCAAGGATATAGAAACATTGAAGAGGAAGATACAGATTCATGGTGGATTGATGGACTGGAGGATGATATTGTTAAAAATTAAAGAGACACTTTTTTCGAAAATTTTACATAAACCTCCAATGCCAGCCAAGATATAAAAGTGCATATGAAATAAAGATCAACTCTGAGCATGCTGTGAGATGCCACAATTATGCTGGCTTCTCTTCAAAGGTAACACTCTTCATTTTCATTTGGAGAAAAATGGCAATAGGAAGTGGGGGGAGCCATTTAATACAGCTAGCAGTGCTAGCTAGCACACAAAGACAATATTGCAGTACCGTAGACATATCAAGATAATAAACAATGGATAGGTATTGGAGAAAAGGTCAGCATAATCACAAACAGTAAGAGAAAAGAACCAGTGACATGATAACATGACTGTGAAAGATCATTTTGGCTGAACCTTTGTAGAGATAACAATAACATTTATGAATAAAATGCCTTTCCTGCATTCTAAGCATGACTCTAAACAAGGTAATATCTTCCCTTGCTCACTTTCCCTCAGCTTCGTTTCACAGGTTATTCCATTCATTTGCCCACGCAATGTCGTTATCTGTTGACCTTTTTTTTTTTTAAATTCAAACTCATTTTCCACATCTCCCTGGCTTTTTCTGTTCCATTAACATGATGATGTATTTAAGGCATTATGATCATATTTTAGGGACAGCCTTTTAATATCAACAAGAATAGACCTTCCCTCCATAAAAGTTAAGAGCATAACAAGTCGGATGCTATTTCCCTCAAAAACAATATTTGAAAAGTGGAGAGATTCCTATTGAAGAGAAGGTGATAAGGAAAATATCGCCTAGAATGTGGAATGAGATTAGATTCAGCATATTAGAATGTGCTGAAATGAATAGATTAACGTTACCAATTAAAGAGAAAGAGCAAACTGAATATTATATAATATGGGAAGTATTTTATCAATGGTTGGAAAATAAAAATGGAGTTTGGAAATGAAGGAGACCAAAAATAAGTAGAAAATTTATTAAGAAAGAGTTATAAATAAGATGAAAATTGTTAGTATATGTATGAAGAGAATAATGATATTTGATGTTAATAGGGTATTGTTACTGAAAGATGCTAAGAAGAAAATGGGGAATTTTACAATATTTAAATGTGTAATGTACTTAACATATTATAAAATTAATGTTAATGTGAACGTGAAAGATGTGATAAATGAGGAACGATGTAGCACAGAGATGTATGTACCCAGCATAAGGAAAAATGGAATACTTTATATTTTTTTTAAAAAAAATAAAAATAAAAAATATTAAAAACAATTATAAATGGGTCAAAGTCTCATTAGTTAGTACAAACAAAAAAAACCCACCCAAAACCCAACCTACCCATGACATTTATTTCCTGGCTTTCCCCTACAGAAATTGAAAGTGACCACAGGAGGGTTCCAGGACCCCGAGTTGCTGAGCTTCATGAAGGTTGCCGCATCTTGTGCCTTTAGACATCACTTTGATGGGTCAGACAGGTCATGCTGACTTCAGTTAGAATACAAAGAAAGGCTTCACTCTGTGAGGCTCTTTCACATAGAAACAAACGGGAGGGATAATAAGAGAGCTATATCAAATTATGCACGGTCTAGAGATTTTTTTTCCCCCCTTCCTTTTTCATGCTACAGAAAGCACAAATCACTCAATGAAGCTGAACAGTGAACGATTCAGAATCAACAAAAGCAATAACTTATTCACAGAGCACAGAGTCGATTACAGAATCCGCTTCCACAGCTAAGCGATGGCAACTAAGGTAGCTGGATTTAAAGGTTTGATTACACTCATCTAGGCAGCGTAAGGCTTACCAATGGCAATCAGAAAAGACTACCTAGTATCCAAGACATTATGTTCCTCAATATAATTGCTGGGGAACATGAAATGGAAAACTGCTCCCCTTCTAGCTTCCTTTCATCCTGCGATGAACTGTTTTGCTCTGTCCAATTGGTCCTTGGATCGATCTAGCCCAGCTCTTCTTCTATTTTTATGCCCTTTTCCTTGAACCTCACTGCCTTCAAAAGCCTCTGGTTTCCTTACCACCACCAACTCAAAAGGCGAACTCTTCTTTTTACAAGAATGATATACAAAGAAAATATCGCTGGTGTCATTCAATCCATGGCCTTTTTTAAGAGAGAGATGTCAATTACCGCTTTTGACCAACCCCCTGACCTTCTGGAGTGACCAGCTTAATTCAGCATGGCTACTTTCTCGCTCCCCACCCCCCCCCGGCCCTGGGG